TATATATATATATATAACATATATATATAAAGATTTCGTAAGTGATTCTCGTCGCTTTTTTTCTATGTAGTGGACGTGAAAAATTAATTTTACTTAATCACAGATGCTATTTTCCACAAGTTTATTTCGTTTGCATTTTTATGAGAAATAAAATTCTGCATAAAATTTACTTTACGATTTTATAATCAAATTATTCATATTTATATAAAATAATCTAAATGCACAATTAATTTTATTGTACATTTAATTTTATCATGTGAATAATATACAACTTTCTCGGAATCAATATGATTTTCCTGCAACTAATATACTTGTATTAATATTATACATATACTTAAGGTGTGTGAATAATTTGAATTTGAATTGAATAAAATCGAATCTAGATGGATTATCAAATAAGTTCGAAATTTCGAATCATTGTGGTTTGATTTCGAATTTGTCTATTTTATTTGTTTTATTTTAGTCCGATTTTAAGTAAAATCCGGAAAAATTTAATTCAAATTCGATTCATGTTATGAATAAAAAAGATTCGATTCGATCTCACAAAATGCTTGATTCGCACATTTCTATTATATACTATATAGTATATATACATATGTATATATATATTTCTGATAGAAAACGGCTTGGCTGTATGAAATAAAATTTTTAAAGAGATATTAATTTCAAAACATCTCAAAACAAATCTAAGATTGTATAGCTACGCGCTTGTGTATATACATACATATGTGCGATTCGTAAAAATTATGACATAAATCACGCATACTTCCATTCCCAAATATCCGCGTCTTTCTCCTACTATCGTGCAACCAATTGTCAATTTTTCTCTACGTCGTAGAGCTCGCACCCTATCAATAAGATCGCTCTCGAAGAGATTTGCCAGCGGCGAGCGATGGATGGAACACGATGGATGATAAATATAGGGCGGCGTCGGGAATAGGGGGACGTGTATAAAGCACTGAAAAATTGACACCACCCTGCCGAGGTAACGAGCGATCTCTACGAAGTATATAACGTCAGTCGTTAGGAGATTTCGTCCTTTCACCCCTCACTTTACTTGTCCTCCTACGCTCTTCCCTCGTCTCGTCGGCTCTTCTTACCATCTCTCGTAACATCCCTCCTAGTCGCACATGCCTCACACCCTCTTCGTTTTATTGCAAGTACGTGAGAGATTAGCGAATTAGCCGCGTGCAAAGCATTGCTGATCAAAGCCTACAAGAAGCGTCTCCGGTTATAGGGACCATAATCGTCTTTCTCTCGGGAGGAAACTTACTTCCCATCGTAATATTCGTGTCTTTTGTAAATGCATGAGCGAGCAAGCGAGAGAGAAGGAGACAGAGACGCATAATTAATCATGCAAAAAGTTAATTTTAAGTTACCTCTGCTATCATGATATCGAATTATAAAATAGAAAAGCTAAAACTAAAAGAGAGTTTATTATAAGGTCGGTGATTTTTCTCGTTACAAGAAACAATCCTTCATCCTGTTGCTTTATCAATACACAAGTGGAAGCTCGTAACAAAAAACTTTCTCATTCACGCGATCGTTATTGACAGCGAGAAATAGTCTTGCCTGTCTGCAATAAGAATCCAGATACTCAGACAAGATCTTTATTAACTTTCCAGTTGGATCAACACGCAAACTAAACTATTTTTCCGTATCTGGTGCGCTGCATGGATAAGATAAAACTCCAGGTGGGATAAAACCACTTTCAATTTTCCTTTAATACCGAGGATAGAGTCTCGTGTATCTCGAATTACAGGCAAAGGCAGAGTGTGATTGCCACTGGAGTCTCAGTAGTAAAGGAAAATCATTTCACGCTCCACTTGTCTTGCTGCTTTCCGCCTTGCTAAGGATAGATCGTTTTGCGTCTCGTTAGCATCCTGTTCTCCATAGAAATACTTTACTGTGATGTTAACTGTTTATCGTATTCATATATCGGTACATTTTTTAATATCAGATGCGTTTTGACAACCTTTATTAACATCTGATCAATTTCTACAGCTTTTAATATTGTGACAACGTAACGAAACATTAAATATGAAGAAAAGATTTATCTTACTATATAGATTTATCTTTGTATATGGAGAATCACTCTTTTTCAAGTACAATATTTTGGAACCACCCTACACTGAAAAAAAGGTCTGATAATAGTTATCAAACATGAAATAATTGGATGAAATAATTCCAATCAAACGTTCGATTAATATATGTATTATATAACTTAAAATAATTTTACTTTTCTAAACATTTAGTAAATATTACCGAACGATAATATAACTAATTATTTGGTAATACTTACTAAATATTTCGAAAAGTAAAATTATTTTTTATTATATTAACCGAACATTTGATTGAAATTACTTTGTATCCAACATTTGGTAGCTATTACCAGTCTCTTTTTTTCAGTATGCTTGTATAACGTGTTAATTACTTCCAAAATTAAAATGCTAATATCATTATCGCTCGAAAGATTACTTCGAATCTCTTTTGATTTTTCCTTGATCCTGCGTCTCTTAATGCTGGATATAAATGCGCTTCGCGTATCTCGAAGAGCGTCGCGCGAAGACGACGTAGTAACCCGGACTAGTAAAGGAAAATCATTTCACGCCCGACTTGGCGGTTCCTGTCCTAGCGGGAGTAGTCGATCGTTTCGCGTCTCGTTAGCATCTCATCCATCGCCCGTGTCTGCCTGCCTGTCGACCGCCGGCGGGCGAAATTTCGCAACGTGCCGTGCTGTTCCGTTCCCTCGGGTACGATCCTCTCTCTTGTCTCTCTCTCTCTCTCTCTCTCTCTCTCTCTCTCTCTCTCTCTCTCTCTACCACTTCTTCTCCCATTCTCATCCATTCATGATCCATCGAGAGAATTCAAGATTTCCTCCGAGGAAATGCGTGCGTAACTAGTGCGACGAGACGTTTCGCAGTGTATAAAAAGCACGTCGGCTGTGAATTTGTCAATGATAATAAAGCCGGGCCTCTTCACCAATAAATGTCGATTGAGATTGTGTGTCGTACTAATGCGACATTTTTATTGCCGAATCAAATGCGCTCGGATGCTTATATTTATTTATCATCTTTACAAAATTTTTCTCAAAATACACGTTACGAGATGATCTGAAATATAACAGTGCAACGCAGCGAAAAATTCTCTGTTAATTGCATAATTTTAATTAATGTTTTTGCGTTTCGCGAAAAATTATAGAAACATTTATAATTCTTCATCATTACGCAAGTGCAATCATAGTAGTCTTAGTAAAATTGAATTTCTTCTTCAGACACACACAGTATATTGAAAGCTTTAATATACTGCTTTTATTTTTTGTACAAAAATGGTCTTTTTTATAATAAAAAATATTTATTTACATGGTCATGTATATATCTTATAAATTTTATTGCATAATGCTGTCCAATTATTTATAGATTTATTCTATTTATTTTTCTCATCTTTCTTTATTCATCTTTATTAACCCTTTGAGGGGCAGTGGGACGTATACGTCCTACCTTTTTGTTCTTAGTTTTTTTCATATTTTTGATCTATTTTGCAGTTTGTATGCGCATATGAGTACTTTTTAGACTCTTAGGGATCTAAGTTATGCAACTTTCATGAAAAATTACGTTAATTTATTTATTTGCAATTTAGTTATAAACAATTAATGTAAAAAACTCTTTTTTTTTCAGAATAAATTCGGCTATTCTCATACGTGAAATGCTAGAGCTCTGAAAATTTGTATGCGTGTTTTACTTCATATCTGAAATTATAATATATATTTTTTTCAAAATTTTCTGCTTGCGTTTTTCTGAAAAAAAAATTTTGGAAATTTTGGAAAATAAATCTTTTATAAGTCTATTTAGTATTTATTTTTGTAATTCTGACATAAGAATCGTAATCAGCGATCCCGAAAACCCTCGGAAAACTTATGATTTCAATAATTTGTTTAGAAGAAAAATGTGTGCCCCTCAAAGGATTAATCCTGTTGATCTGTTCAACTTTGCGATTATATATCGTTTGAGTTAAAAAGCTTTTCAAAATAAAAAAATTTCACAGAAAAGATCTTACCAGATGAAATTATTAAATATCAGAGAAAAAAGTTTTTAAATAAAATATTAGTAAAAAAATAAATTATATTTTGAATTAAATAGATTCGAATAGACCAACAGAATTAAATATAAGTTTGATTTGGTTTCTATTGGTGATATTATCGGATATTTTTACACAGTAAAATCTGATATCTTTAAGATTTGAAACATGTACGGCGATGTTTCATAGTCGAGAGGCTGTCGCGGAACTTATACGTCGATACATAAGTTCAGAATTTATTCACGACCCTTCGATATACTTCACGGAAAGTATCCTCGCAAAGTAATCCGCGTCGAAGCAAAAGATAATTTAGTACTTGTTTTAAGTCAGGTACGATGAACATTTTCCTCAGATATAATAGGGAACTCTGCGTTGGACTTTTATCGTGCGCGCGTTAAAGCGACGAAGTTAGCCTCGAGCCGATAGAGCTGGCAATCTCTGCTTTATAAGAAGCAACATTTCTTTCGTATGCCTTTCTCGCTGGGGGTATTTGCATTTTAAAAGAATCCTTCCCTATCCCATTCAGCCAACGTGCTCGAGAGAAACCCTTGAAAAATTCGAAACTGTCAGGCTCGATGTCAGACTACCTCTCATGTCAGTTCACTGTAATTTGTGGCGTCTGTAATAAAATTTCGACGAGTCTACCAACGAAAGTCATACGATCCAATCGTCAACCTTCATTGTGAAAAAATAATATGAGCTATACAAAGGAAAACCGATGTCGGTTAATCTCAATAAATGAGTTGTAATTAATAGGGATTTTATTGCGGTAGATTAACGCAATTAATAGGAAACAAGAACAAGATTTTTTTCTTAACTTTTGCGCAGTTAGTTAAAGAAGTTTGGGTTTACCTTCGCAGTATCTTTCTCTGAAAAATTGAATTTTAAATGATATAAAATACGACACTAAAAAAATTCACTTAATGTTCTTTTCTAGATTTACTATTACAAAAAATATTTTCTATTTAGCTATGATCATTTCTGTTTTGCTTTGCAAATTGATCATTTTTTAAACTTTCGAACACAAATAAATAATTTTTTAATCGCTGTATGCTACATTTATGTTAACAATGGACAGAATAAATGTGAATATTTAAGTGAATTGATTTGTTCTATTATAAATTGATATACAAGAATGACAATGCTAAATAACTTTGTATATTCGTTTCTGATGATCTTCAAACAAAAATATGAATTGTATAGGATTCATAGATCGCGGGGAAATACAATGTATTCACCAGTTTCGTATAAACTGTTCAAAGAATTTGCAAGCGCCCGCTTTTGGTTGTTCAAAGAATTTGCAAGCGCTCGCTTTCCATATCAAAGGAGTGCAGATACTGTAGGTACCAATTTTGCATACAACCACGTCCGATCGCTCGCGGGTTCCCCATGTTCGTAATGAAACATTAGACGGTCCTTTTGTACCTGTGCTTCCATTAGCTTTATATCAATTAGCGGATCGTATAGAAGTTAATTGGCGTTTCAAGGGCGGAAGAATTTTTTCGGCTCCCCATTCACGCCGCCATTTGCGAAAGTCTGACGTTCATGGCCGCGAGCAAGAGACAGGAAAAGGGTGACTAAGTAGCCCAATAACGGTAGGGCTTTGCGTTTCATAGCTCACGGTCGGAAGCCAGCCGTTGTGAGAGGAATTTCAGGCCGTCTCGGGCCGAGGGAATGCTCAAAGACCGTTGAACGGCAAAGTGAAATATGGCGAATTTGCCTTGGAAATTATTGCGATAAGTCTGAGTGGCACTTAGAAGTTCCAATTACACACGAGGACGTTATCGCAACACGCGACGAAATCCGAGTTTGGACATATCACTAGTCATTGTATGGAGCATCGTTATTCTCGGTACTTCCGTTGTTGTCGGATCTGACGATCGGTAGATTCTCGAAGATATATCTCAATGATAATGCGACGGATGCATGGAAGAAACGTGTGTGGAAACGACAGCTGACGAGATCCGCGAATATCGTATCAGCAACGAAGCTTATTCGCAACGCGAGCATTGAATATCGAAAAAAAAAAAATACTTTGTTACATTGACGATCTGAAGAATGAATAGATCGTAGATAGATATGGAAAGCTATATCGCAAGTAAATTTATAATTTAACCTAGAAATTTCACGATTGTAATAAATTTAATTGTAATATGGGCAATAATTCACGTCTCAGAGTTCAGAGAAAGCTGAATTAAATCCTTAATATACGTAAAAAATAGCTCAAATTATGGATAAACTTGTTGTGAATGAAGCTGATCTTATTTACATATTTTTCTTACTGAAATATGCAACTCTCTTTGTCTCTCTCATAGTGCATTCCTTCTAATACGATGACATCTACCTATTGATTATGCAAACAAATTGCTTGCAACTGCGATATCGCATTGAAATATTGTTGACATATTCTCGAGTTAATCATTGTCAGTTCGTTTTAACATATTAGAAGATAACTTTGGAATTGAGAAATGATAAACTTCACGAAAAGAGTCGTGAAGATTCCGCCAAACAGTTAGTCTGTGTCAAGACGCTTTATACATTTTTTCAATTTTTGCGCTATGTAAGTGAATATGCATATGTGAATCTTCTCGATATTTAACAATCACGTGAGTCCAATTAAATTAAAATCCTTGCTAATCTCGTGTTGAATGTAAAAATATTGAATATATTGTCTAAAATATATTAGGATAAAAATAATAAATTAAATTGTAATGACAAATCACTGGACTTTCATCAGAAAACGATGTATCAGTGATGCTGGCCAAAATTCATTACTGAATTTTTCGTACACGAAGACTTGACTTTAAAGCTTAGCGTTTCGAGCGCAATCGCATACGTGACACGTCCCGATTAATGTAGACAAAAAGAAGATTCTATGTCACGGGAACTCGTTTTCCTTCGAGTATTCACTGTTCGAGTATGTGCACCTGTTGCGCATTTGTTGCGCACGGCGAAACGCAATGGATTATTCTTTTTGGCGGCGCGTATCGCCGCGTCAAACATCAAGCATTCGTATGCAAACGCATTTCACTCGCGTGCAACGACTTCTAAGCACGTACTGCTATGAAATTCGGCATTTAACTTATGATCGTGCGCGTTCTTAACTATCCCTATTATGTTTCTTGTCTTTCTTACAAATACGACAGAACAACAACCATGAATAAACAAATCATGAATAAGCTAATTATAAAATCAATCTCAATAATGATGACTTAAATATTGTAAGATTTTCTGTACATAAAATTTATATAAATGTTATACATTTTATTTAAAAAAAATGATGATAATTTAATTTTCATTTTATTTAGCGGAATTTACAGTTAAAATAGAATTAATTTGATGTACTTTTAT